ATACTTGTATATATCATCTGACGTGAAAAATCATTAGACTTTCAATTTCTAGATTTGGAAACCTTGAATAAGGGTCTAAAATATTTAGCAGTTTTTGAGGATTGTGATAAATTTCTCTTACATTCTTGTTTTATTAGAGCAAATTTCGGTAAACATCAATTTGCAAATATTACACTGTATATATTTTGTCAGAAGGTGGATGTAACGTGAAACACATGGTTAGATGTTTGAAACTTGGGTCTAAACTTTAGAACTATGGGAATAAAGCTCCAAGTTTGAGAGGAATTAAATTCAAATTTTTGAGGTGAATTTAAATTTTTCAAATTAAATTTTTTTCATCCGCGTTATGTCTTCAAGAATTACAATAATCCAGTAATAATATAAGAATTGTAGTGTTCCACGTTTCGTTAAAGACTTTTCACATCTTTCTCCTTTATGATGTATGATATAAAGTTTCCCTTTGATACCTGCTATTGCAATTACTTTCTTTCGACTGTAGTTTCAATAACAATGTTCTCTGCACAAAATCGTGTGTCGTTTGCACTTTTATTTATTTTATTTTTGTTAGATACAATCACGTTATAGAATAATAGTGACCGGTTGTATATTATAGACAAGCTGAATTTTTGGCAAGCATAGTGATCTTAAATATTTATTCTATCCGCGAATGGTGATATTTTTTTTTTAAATAATTTGTTCATTGAATCAAGACATGCATTTTCATATATCGCGTTTATAAACACATATTAAGTAATGTGATAGTGATAATTAAAAATCATGGTAGTAAAACTTTATTTATGATTAAACAAGAGAATTTTAATATAATATTCTATATAATGTAATATTAAATGCAAAAACGCAAATATTTTAATATAGTCGATACATTTGCGAAATTTTATGGAAGCTGAAGGTATAATTATTAAAATAAACGATATTTTAATATTTTTAAAATTATACACATTAAACAGGCAAGAAATATACTTTTATGCATATAGAATATGCTAATAGGAGTGCTCGAGAAGTATGCAAAATATATAACAATATAAAATAATACGATTGCCATAAGTTTAGTATGTTAAATAATAATATCTTAAATTAATAATAAATGAAATATATAAATAATATAATAATTTATATATCTATTATATTATATAAATTATTATATAATATATATTAATAATTTATGCAATGATAATCTAATTTTTCTGATAATAAATTTTTTTTTTTATGAAATATACAATATTTTGAAGATATTATATATAATTAAAGTTTCACTACGCAAATTATATTTGATGGGCATTAATAAACTAATTCTTCTTTTTTGCTGATACGTGTTATATGATTCAATGTAAATCATTGCTAGTGTTGCTGGTAATTAATTATTGTTCGAATTAGAATTTCACGCGATTTTACAACCGTATAGTCAGTTGTAGTTATATACAAAAAGTTTGTGCTTTTCGACCTACACGGATGAAACAATAAAGAAATTAACACTAGAGTTACCGACATTTAAAGTATGATATTTGTAGCAAAGAAAGTAAAGCAAAGATGAATGAAAGAACACAAACATCTATTAATATATTTTAGAGTATCTAAAAATATACATAAAATTTCATTGGTCATTCTGACCACTTTATAATTAATGAAGGACACAAACTTCCATTAATGTATTTTATTAAAAATCTCTCTAGAGTATCTAGAAATATTCATGTCATAAATATATAAAATTTCACTGGTCATTCTGATCACTTTATAATTAATGAATAACACAAACTTCTATTAATATACTTCATTAAAAATATCTCTTGAGTATCTAGAAATCTACATGTCATAAATATATATAAAATTTCATTGGTCATTCTGACCACTTTATAATTAATGAATATAATTAATGAATAACACAAACTTCTATTAATATATTTTATTAATAATCACTCTAGAGTATCCTGAAATGTACATGTCATAAATATATATAAAATTTCATTGGTCATGCTGACCACTTTATAATTAATGAAGAACACAAACTTCTGTTAATATATTTTATAAAAAATCACTCTAGAGTATTTAAAAATATATAAAATGTCTATAAAAGATTATAAATTAGTCATTCTGACCAATTTGGTAGTTCTAGTGTTAATAATTAATGAACTAACAGCTAGCAATATTCATTCCCCATTCCGCTTGCAGGAGCTTCAATTTTCTGCCTTCCCTTGCAGAAGTACCTTGTGCTACGATGATGAATTAATAAGTAAATTATGTCTCCATGCCAACTTCCGTTCTAAACTACGTAATTGCTGCTAAACGACCAGACAGATTCTGTTAGGATTGTTGTTAACGCAGAATACGTATCAAATTCAAAACTTTGAATTAGTCAGTTGTACATGTACTACTGTTATGTTAAACGCGAAATGGAGAGCGTATATTCAGATTTGAAATGCTGCTACCCAGTCCACTTTTGTGGATGAGCAATCGCAACTTGAATACAATTTTCAAGGATTTAGCGCGGGATTAATGAAAATAAAGATAAAGTACGTTTCGTTGTTACTCTGTGATGATTAGATGGTGAAGGCACGAGGGAATTTTTCATTCTTCCCCAAACAATTTTAAAATTACCCTTCTGTCTAATTTTGAGGATCAATTTGTTTACTTCACAATACTAGAAATTGAATTATAATTCATGAATTATAATTCATATTTAGCGTTGTGATTATTTCAAAATATATAAATGTATATTTATGGTATGAATGTAATGATATTCGTAATATTAAAAGATATTGCTGTAGCTAAAAGTTTCACGATATTGGAATGTTATTGTTGCTTAAAATTTTCATATCAGAGTATTTTTACAACACTTCGTCAATCTGTAAATTATTCTTAAATACCTTATTATTCTTAAATACCATCCATCTTATAGTGCAGACAAGTCGATACATGTGTACTCTTAGTCTACAGAAGTCTACAAATATCAAATATTTGAAATAGCAAGTAAAATGGTTTGGACGATCATTAACTCGTTGATTAAAATTGGACTATTTCTGATTTTAGTATTATCGATGTTTCTTATGTTTGTTTTAAAAAAAAACGCGTAACACTGATGGTCAATTTTAGACTTATCTTTGTGTTCTTTCGAAACAAATGTAAGAAGTACAGTCAATACATTAAAATCGATTTAATTTTAATTAGCAGATTTTAATTAAGATTCGTGAAATGACCAAAATCCTTCTTTTCCCGATTTAAATTTTGATTGATTGTAGCTATAACTATTCTGTCATTTATATGTTTTATTATTTCATTTTATTTGGTCATTTTATTGTATTATTTTTTAATTATATCGGAACCAAACAATCTTTCAGTGTCATTTGTCAATTAATAAACTTCAGGTCAAGGTAAAAAGTAGACTGCACATTCACGTTTTTGTAAAAATAATTAAAGTAGTAGATAGAAGTACCTATTTTATATTTGTATATATTATGCACTGTACCATATCAAAATGAAATGAGCATTCATTTTATTAAACTATCATTTATTATAAAAAAAGTTAAGGACTTTCTAGTGTTTAAATCTTTTACTTTATATTGTTTTGTAATTCCTGAATTCTATTAGATAGTTCTATTAGTTTATTAAATTTCAAATAATATCCCTCTTAAACTTTCTTGATTAACTAGGTAGATTTGATAACAACAAGTTTCATCTTCTTGTAATCAATGATTTTTAAAGACAGGTAATCTCTACATTCTATATTTCTTTATATCTTTCCAAAACGATATCAGTACATGTTCATTTCATTCTGATATATCATGTATTTTGAAATACATGATATTGTGTATACATTACTGTATCCTTAAGTTTCCAATGAATAAATATCTGTAGTTTGCTCATAAACAAACAGAATCTGGTAACAATAAATTTTATCTTCTTGTAATTGATAATTTTTAAAGTCAAGCGTTATGTTTGTTTATATCATCTTGAATTATTTAGAATAACTAAATATAACAGCATATATTCATTTCATTCATCTTGACATGGTACTTTGAATTTTGGAATACATTTCACGTATTCTTATATATTATGTGCTATACAGGGTGTTTTTCATTTATATTCAGCCAAATGGTATGAGCATGTTCTATGATTAAACATATGAAGAAAATAAACATAAAAAAATTACAAATTAAACGAAATATAAAAGGAAGAAATAAACGTAAGAAGATTAAATGTAAGAAAAACGTCAAAATTATAAATAATAATTTTTCACTTAACTCTGCCTTGGAAATGCTACTATTAACGATCATATTGTAAACTATAGTTACAATATAGTCGTAATGCTATCTCTGATAAAACATTTTCAAGTCAAACGCAAGTATTCGAATGTGATTCAAAGACAATGAAATCTTTCGTATGAGAGATGAAACAAATACACAATATGCTTTACATTCGAAAGATTTTTATGTTTTTAAACACGTTTAAGTGCTCGTGTTTGATCGATAATTTTCTGCCAAGGGAAATACTATGTCTATAATTAATGTTATATAATTCAATAAATATATAGTTTTAATATTAACTTTTAAACTATATTTATACAACATGTTTCTTCTTATTTTCAAGAGTTTGCTGACACCATTTAGCGGGATAAAAATAAAACACCCAGTGTGCTATTGTGTACAAATGAACAAGCAAACAAACAGAATAATTCCGCTTGTAGAAAGCTGATGAAACCAGAGATGTGCGAGATCCTGAAATTGTCCTCAATTTAAGTTAAGACGAGTCTGAGTATGTCGAGGAATTTCGGCAATTTTGAAAATCCTCAGGACATGCTTCGAAGCACATCGAACGGATCTCCGGGATTTTCAAAAAAAAAAAATTGCCGAATCTCTCTCGAGACTCACGGCGCACAGGAAAGTCCCGACTCTTTTGTAAAATTTTCCGGATCTCGCGTGCCTCCAAATAGAACGCGACGCCGATCGTGGAATTGCAATGATCAAACAACGTCTGTGAATTCTTACCTTTCTCGAGAGGGGCCCTCTTGTATTTCTCCAGCCTCTTCACCGCGATCGCTTCCAGCCTGATCCTGGCCGCAGGATATTCCTTGAGAACGTCCCACATGTCCTTCTTGCTGAGGACGAACAGGTCCGAGTAGCCCACCGATCGCACGCTGGCTGTTCGTCGGTTACCTGCGTCAATGTAGCTATTTATTGGTTATCGGGATGCGTCAAGCTTTCTTTCGCATCCGGCCGGGAACGATCGATCGTCCCGATCGTTCCTTTCATCGTACGTCGATCGTGTGATAACCGCCTCACACGTCGCCTAACGACACAACTTCAATAATGCCATATTAAAGCATAACCTTGGCCTTATAAGTCGTAAAAATCATGCTTGACAAAATCTTATTGAAAATCGACAAACTACGTGGCGTTCTATTCGTGTGTGTGCGCGCGCGCGTGTGTGTGTGTGTATGTGCGTGCTTAAGGTGGTGGTATTCTGGGTAATCCGAAATCTTGAAAAAATCGACTTTTTTTGAAATTTTTTTTTTTTTTTTTTTTTGAGGAAACCATGATAGATTTTGGTATGCAGTTTTATTCGTACTTATGGAGTATTTGCAATTTTTTTTTTTTTTTTTTGACGAAATTAATGAAAGTTGTGGAAATTATATGGTCTTAGGTAAAGCATGTTTTTGGAAACGGCTGACGTGATTCCGGTTCACCTGGTTATTTGAAACTAAGAAACCAAATCTTAATTAGTATAAATATGGCTATCGCGTGAACCACGGAAACAGTGAAATTTCGAAAATTAAAAAAATGGCAGCATTTTGAAGTTAAAATATCGATTTTTCTCGTGCTTTTCGTCTTTTGGATGGTTAAAAAAAAAAAAAAAAATAGAAAGAAACATCAGATTTTGAAATCCGTGGTTCACGCGATAAATATACATCCTCCAAATTTTAAGTCAATCGGTCAACTAAAACGTGAGATATCCCGTCGGTTTAAAAAATATGGATTTGAGAAAAACACATTTGAAATTTTTGTTGTACAAAAATATTTCATACTTGCAATTAATCGGACAGTACAAAAAGTAAAATATTATAAAATAATAATAATATAAATAATAATATAAATAATATAAATAATAATATAAATAATAACATTATAAAATAAAATATTTTTTCGAGAAAAACACATTTGAAATTTTTGTTATCCTCTGTAAAAAAATATTTATACTTACGTTGCAAGCAGTACACCGTTTCCTTTAAACATCTATATAACTCTGCTAATTTTACGAATTCAAACAAATCCTTTTACATTCTTTAGACATTTTCGAAAGCATATACTTTGAGCAAATGTAAAAGAAAAAAATTGATCTTTTTAAGCCGGATTACCAGAATAGCCCCTTAAAGTAGGATTAAATTTTTTTCTCGTTGATATGTGGCTATGTGCGGGTAAATAGATATATTGTAACATAGTCACGAAAATACTTGAACATTTACTATGAGACAGATTTTATGTCTATATGTGTTGTCAACGAGATCTTTTCATTTCCATGACACAATTGACACACAGAAAAATAAGATGGAAAGAGCAACGAATTAAATACACGGAGGATCTTTGTAGCTCGGTTTATGTTTGTGACATGCTGTTCTCTGAGAAGAGAAATATTTTTAGCATTAATTATAGCAATGTCGTTTCTCTAAGCTAAAGCTTCTGCTTCGGCAATATCATTTCTGTTTTTTCAGAAATAATTTTTACATATCACTGGTGCGATTTCAACTGATGAAATGGTAAACGGGGATCATTTGTTGTGATTCATTTGTCAAAGATAAAGGGTAAATTTTAATTTACACGCGGGTGTGTAAATAACGGGAACCATGCGAGGAATTTGTATTGTACGTTAGTAAATATGGAGGAATATGTATGCCCGTTCATTTCAAAATTAATTGACAGATGTCCTATTGGCGAAGTGTAAATATACTTTTGTTTGTGTACACGGTGTATGCGATATTACAGATTGGAAAGTTTGATTTGTTTCGGGGGGAAAAATGTTCGCTACGCGAACAGCAACTGTTATTTATATAAATGAAACGCGAAGATTGCAAAAAAAAAGAAAAAAAAAAAAATTGGCAATTCAAGTGACATTCAGTTAGTGCCTGAAATGTATTATAAACATTAATAATATTTAATCGATGATTGAAATGCACTATGATGTTTTACAAATCAATAGATTTTGATTTGATTTCAAAATTCAGGTAATACTCGATTAATCTCATTTTCGACATGTGTTTGTTGTAATATAAAACGAGAATTCGAAAGTTATTTATTGCAACGATAGGATATATATATATATCGTTGCAATAAATAACTTTCCATAGTTAATAGTGTGGTGTTGATACTGTGATATAAAAATAATAATTACTGTGAAAATTATTTTCATTATATTATACAAATAACTGGAAGAAATTTTTGTTTGGAAAAGAAAATTTAATTGTCGTTAAACACGAATATGTTTGGTAATAAAATGTAGCATGAAATACTTACATATATCTATTACTGCATAACTAATTTTTCTCGTTTATGCATTACTTTTGATTGCATTCTATGTATTGAATGTAAAACACTTGGGTCTTTTGCACAATATTATTTTGTTATTCACAATTGCTACGAGATTATTTAATAATTAATCTGAATAATATTCATAATAATATTTAGCAATAATATATCCAATCATTCTCCCCGGGGAAAAATGTTGATATAAAATTTATTTTCCATGTAGATCATTTAATTTGATTAATATTCGCAGAGGACATTGTGCATAAAAATTGCTCTTGACTTTGCTGTTTCCAATGTAATTTTAAAACAAATGCAAAGTACAAGATTTTAATTTTAAAACCAAATGTATTTTAAAGTTACTCTTCGTTATTTTTTCCAATGTTACTATTCAGTTGAAACATGTTTCAAAATTATTCTCAATCATTGTTTCCAATGTGATTTTAAAACAAATGTGAAATACAAGATTTGTTTTAAAGTTAAATGCAATTGAAAGTAACTTTCGATCATTCTTTCCAACGTTGATACAAAATCTTATGTAGATCGTTTGAATTCGATTAATATTCATAATAATATTTACGAAATACTGATATTACCTATCTCATGCTTTCTATAATAATATCGACGATTACTCTTGACAATCCTTTCGGTACGTGTTGATATAAAAAAATTTGCTTTTGACGTAGTTCAATATATAGGAAGCTAACTACGATAATTAATATGCGGGCGTGTAGTAAAATTATGTCAATCTCGAATGCAGATTAGTCAAAATCCGTGTAGTGAGCACGAATCATTGCAGCAATAATTATTAAAAAATACTACGTTCAGAAAAAATGGTAGCGGAGAGCCGTGAAAAATATAGTAAGATATAAATTGGTGCATTGACATGGATAACAGTAAGAAAGTATTACCAAAAATGAAAACGTAAGCGGAGGAAATATTTGCTGTATTTAATTTAGAAACTTCCGAATTATTTCTACAAATGAAATATACTTTTTTTGTTTTATTCATCGTTGTTTGTTACTTCAGTTACGTTGATGATTATTATATGCGTTGATATCGATAAAAATTTGCAAATTTAATAAAAAAAAAGAGAAAATAAAATGGTTCATTGTCAAGTATAACTATCGATTATTATTATTATTATTTTAATGTGTTAAAAAACCGAATAAAAATGATACAAGTTAATAAAGCTAAATGTTATATAGTTCATGGCAGTAAAAGTACTATTTCACTTTCAAAAAATGTTATACAATTTGTCGGATTAAACAAGAATCACTGTGATTTTACAAACATAATTGCAAATGGATATTTCAAAGAAACTCGGTGAAAGATGTTAATTCAAGCTTCAAACATAAGTTAATGACTTCTTGGGATAAATTTGTGTTGGTAGCTCATGGTACAATGCTTCACGTTATGTGAGCATTGCACTCAACTTTGCCAATTCAATAACCATTAATTCGTCCTTCGATATCCATCGTGGAAGCCTAAAGTATTAATATTTAAAAATATAATTTCATGCAAGCTTGATTTTTGGATTGTTTTTAACTCGATTGATATGTACGTTCTCTGTTATTACAACAGATAGAAAAACAGTTTCCTACTTTAACAAAAAAAAAAAAGAAAAAAAAACTAACCATATTCAGAGAAAGATAAATTTAATAAAAGAAAAATATTGTCAATAAAAAATAGAGAGAAGAATGTTATCAAAAACTGCTTTTAAATTCTTAATGTTGCCAAATCTATACAAGAATTTAATTAATAAATTCTACTGTGTATGATTTCAAAATTATACCACGTTAATCGCTGAGTGTTTTAGCTCGTATTAAAATAGTGTACAGATATAATTAATAATAATATAATTGTATTTATTAATATATTAATATAATTAACAATAATATAATTATATTTACTAATATATTAATATAATTAATAAAAAATAGATTGGAATTCATTAGAAATTCGAAACAATATATTCAATAAATATATACGTACGTTTAAAGACGAATGCATTCTTAATTTATTACAATGCTCCCATAAAGATAAAAGGATTGCAATTCGAAGCTTAAACGATGAATAAAAAAAACTTTCCTCCCGCAAATAATTTGCAAATATTTCTCTCCGTAGTAGTGGAGAAAAACACAACATAAAAGATCACGTATGAGTAAACTTATGTATGTACATATGTATATCTCAGCATGTCATTGAAGCAAAATCGATCGGCAAAACGAAACGAGAAGGAAGATGATCAAAGAACGCTGAAAGAGCATGTCCAGTTCCCAAATGGGTCAAATTCTATATACTAAGTATTCTAATACTACTACGAAAGCGAGACCAAAAAAAAAAAAAAGAAAAAAAAAGAAGAAAAAAAGAAAGAAAACAGGAGGAGTGATTAAAAACGTGATATTTTAGTCCGGGTTGGATCGATCGACCGACACGACCCACGATTATTGATTTTCTTCCGTTTTTGGCCTTCCTCTCTCTCTCCTTCCCTTCCTCCCTCTCTCTCTCTATATCGTTTTGTATTTTCGAAACGTTTGTATTTTTATCATGATCGAGGCCGTGTACAGAAGCTACACATACGTGTTATAAAATATCGTTTATTTTCGTACGGTGTATCCGTTACGTTTCAGTAGGTT